GTCGCGGAGGAAGTCGGTGCGCGGGGGGGAGGGAGGTTCAAGGTCGGGGAGACGGGGTCGGGTAGGCTACGGGGGGGGCGAAGAGAATCGGGTGCGGAAGGAGAACAATCAGAGGCAGAAGAAGGAGAAGATGAAGAATCGGGAGCGAGAAAGAAGAGGAAGAAGAAGAATATGAAGAAAAAACGATGAAGAAGAGGAGGAAGAAGGAGGAGATGATGACGACGGGGAGGGGGGAAGAGGAAATGTGGACGATGATGGTGAAGGAGAAGGGGAAGAAGAAGAAGAAGAAGAAACGAGGACGAAGAGAGAGAAAAAAAAAGTTTGTCGGGGGCTTACCTGCGTGTCGTCGATGGCAGCGGCAGTGGTGACGATGACGTAGCAGAGGGTACGAGGGAATGCTGACGATGACGACGATGGCGATGATCTGGCGATGACGACGACAGTAACGAGGTAACGATGATGTCGATGACGTGGCAACGACGGCGATGGGGTCGACGACGACGATGATGACGTGACAGTGACGGCGACGAGGTCGATGGCAAGGACGATGATGAATCAGGGCGGGAGGGAGGGCCGAAGCCGCTCTGATACCAGTGTGACAGGGCTAAGGCAGAGCAGCAAGGTCGGGGAAGAGAGGGGGAGGGAGTGAGAGCACACACACACACACTCACTCACTCGACACGGACTCGACACGACTCGACGGACACGAACACAAAGTGGCAAAGTCGCAAAATCGCAAGCTTGGTTCCGTACACAATGTCGCAGCAAGTCACACGGAAGCACAAGCACTGAGGCTGAAAACTGAGTCCCCGAACTCAGCTCGAGTCCGTTCTTAAGTACCGGACTCAAGTTGAGTCTGAGGGCAAAAGTGCAATTGCCTTGGGGCTGAACTGAAAATCGAAGGTCTGAGCCTGGGCGCCAGAATGCCGGATGGCACCAAGTACGAAATCTGAAAGTGGCAGAGGTGGGATTTGAGAACGGGCGCCAACTGCAGAGGGCGCCAACAGTCAGGAACTGGAGATCAGAGACTCAAAAATACAGCCTGGCGGGTGATAACCTGCGGACCAGGGATCGAGCCCTGGCTGAGTACGTAACAACACCAGTGCTTTGAGGAATGTATCTGGCCAGTATGTGAGAAACGCGACTGCTGATGATTTCGTATTTGTTTTTCTTGTTTCAGTTTCCTCTTTGTGCCCTGCCGGCGAGGCAGGGCGCATTCCACGAGGGGTAACGAAGTGCCTCACTCACTTCATACTCACACCAGTACTCTAGTAGGGTCCTGTATCGGACCGCGATCACAGCATAAGGGAAGTTCTTTTTTTTTGCTCTTCATCTCATCGGACAGACGCCCTCACTGAGAGCACAGTCTCACCAGCACCTCCTAGAATGTATCTGATCATTCTGATGGCTATCACGCCGTCAAGGAAATTTATTTTTTAAGTTTTTTTTTTCCCTTCTTATTCTTTTTTTATTCTCCTTCTTGTTCGTTCTTTGATGTAATGGCCGCGAGTACCAGAAAATAATAAAATACAATGGGACCCAGGCTCGGAAAAACTCGGTGCGCAAGTTCCGCCAAAACAGGATCGGAGGTGGTGGTGGTTTAAGAACTCAGAAGATATAACCAAAAAAAAAGAAAAAAGGTGTGGCGCGGGTTCCAGGAGCGGCCTCACTCACCACCAAAAAAAAAAAGAAAAAAGAAAAAAAAAACTTCATACAGAAGATAATGCTAATGCCAATGAAATGAACAGATTGTTGCACACATGCACATGGCGCCCCCCCTTTCCTTCTCTCTTCTCTCTTCTCTCTGTCTTTCTTGTCACATGTTAACCTGCTGATCTACCCACTGGTTTGATCACACCGCACGTCAACAGAAGAAATGGCCTGCCCAACTCATGTCCTTCTCCAACTTCAACTCCCTCGCTATCCAAAAAACAAAACAGTCACCCCCCCCCCCCCC